ATGGGAGAGAAAAGTGTGATAAACGGAGGATGATGGGAATGTTGAGGTCATGTGTAGTGGCCTTAGAGGAGCAGCAGAGGATAATGGGAAGGATAGGGAAGTTGTGTGATTACCTAGGTATAATAAGAGGAAATGAACTGAGGGAAAGCCTGAGGCTCAAGGGAGAAAAATGGAATTGTGGGTGAAACAATATTATGAATGATATTGTGAAAGGGGCATATGGGTACAACAGAATCATGGGAAGAAGGGAACTCTGGAAATTCCGAGAGATCATGGGAGGGATACGGGGACTATGGGAGAAACGAAGGATTGTGACACTGTTGAGGTGTTGTACATTGGCCTTATGGTTACCACAAGAGATCATGGGATGAAGGGAATTGTGGAAACCACAGGGATAATAGGAGAGAACTTGAATTGTGGGAATGACGGGATCATGTACTGGGGGCTTGTGGGTACCGCAAGGTATCATGGGAAGCAGGGATATCGGGAAACTACGAGAAAATACGGGACGGATAGGGCAATTATGTGAATAGGTATATGGAACGAGGGAAGGCCTGAAGCTCAAGAGAGAGAAAAGGCATTGTGGGCGGAACAAAAGATTATGAGAATGCTGAAGTCATGAATACTGGGCATACGGAATCATGGGAAGAAGGGAATTCTACACTACAAAGGATTGTGGGTGTGATGAGGTCATACTGTGGGTTTCTGGGTACCTCAAAGGATCATGGGAAGAAGGAAATTCGGGAAACTAAAGAATCATGGGAGAGAAATGGAATTATGGGAGAAGCAGGGTATGATGGGAATGATGTCATGTACTGTGGGCTTCTGGGAACTGCAAGGGATTATGGGAAGAAGGGAATTGGAGAAACTACAGGGAATCATGGGAATAATAGGGGAATCATGTGATAGTTATAATGGGAGGAAGTGGACTGAGAAGGCCTGAGTCTCATAAGAGAGACATGGAATTGTGGGCAAAACAAAAGATGATGAGGTCATGAATAGGGCGTATAGGTACCACATAGAATCATGGGACGAAGGGAATTCTTGAAACTGCAAGGGATCATGGGAGGGTTAGAAAAATTGCGAAACAGGATTGTGGGCGTGTCATACAGTGGCCTTGTGGGTACACAGGGGCTCATGGGAAGAAGGTTACTCTGGAAACTACAGAGAATCATGGGAGAAGTGGAGGATTGTGGGAATGATGAGGTCATGTAGTGTGGGCTTCTGGGTACCACAGGGGATTATGGGTAGAAGGAATTCAGGCAACTACAAGGGATCATGGGAAGGATAAGGGAATTATGTAACCATCAAGGTATTATGGGAGGCGAGGTAAGTCCAGAGGCTCATGGAAGAGAAATGGGTTTGCGGGTGAAATAAAAGACTATAGGAATGTTGAAGTATTGAATACTGGGTTTATATATGGGTACCACATGGAATCATGGGAAGAAAGGAATTTTGGAAAGTACAAAGGATCAAGGGTAAAAGTGGAATTGTGGGATAAACAAATGAGTATGTTATTCTTAAGGTGTTGTAGAGTGGGATTATGGGTACCAGAAGGGATCATGGGAAGAAGGGAATTTTGGAAACTAAAAGGATCATGGGAAAGAAGTTGAATTTTTGGAGAAACAAAGGATTGTGGGAATGATGAGGTCATATACTATGGGCTTATGGGTACCACAAGGCATCATGAGAAGAAGGAAATTCGGGAAGCTACAAAGAATCATGGGAAGTATAAGGGAATTATGTGAATATCTAGGTATGATGGGAAGAAATGGACTGATTTAAAGCCTGAGGCTCATGGGAGAGAAATGGAATTGTGTGCAAAACAAAAGATTATTTGACAGGGTCTTGAATTGGGGACGTATGGGTACCACATAGAATCATGGGAAGAAGGGAATTCTGGAAAATTGCAAAGGATCATGGGAGGGATAGGGGAATTGTGGGACCACCTAGGGATTATGGGAGGAAAGGCGGTACTGTGGCAAGGATAGAGGATCATGGTGGAGAAATGGAATTGTGGGAGAAACAATTATGAGAAAGATGAGATTATGTATAATGAGTACTCAGGGATCATAGAGAGAAGGGAATTCTGGGAACTACCAGGGATATGAGAGAAAAAAGGAACTGTGGAAATGACAGAATATTGGAAGAGAAATAGAATTGTACAGGAAAGCGCATTGTGTAGAGAAGTGGAATTGTTAGAAACAAGGAATTGTGGGAAAAACAAGGCGTCATGGGAGAGAAAGAGGCATGAAGGAATAGCATGGGTCGTGGGAGAAATACGAGCATTGTGGGAATACCGAGGGGATATTAGAATGGGGACTTGCTGGAATGACAGGGCAGCGTGTGACAGGATTGGAGTTATGGGAGACTCCAGGAATGATGAGGCTGACCAAGCATCATGGCGGAGAAAGGGGAATAGTGGGTATGACGGGATAATGGGGGAGGTGGTGGCATTGAAGGAACAACTAGGGATTATGGGTGATATAGGGAAATTGTGGGAGAGCAAGGGAACGGGGAGGAGCTGTGGAATTGTGGGTACAGTACATTATGGGAGAGAAGACGTGAGAAAGGGATCATGGTAGCTACTGGAAAATATGGGAAAAATAGTGTAAGAATGACAAAATTGTGGAAAAAACTGGGGATTTGGGGAGAGGAAGAATTGCGGGACACCAGGGCATTGTGAGAGAGAACACAATCGTGGGGCAGAACAGAGAACGCTGGGAGAACCAAGGAATTGTGGGGGGCGATACAGCTAGGCCCACGCTCTATTGTCCACTATGTTCCGAGGAGGACGTGACCCTCCGGACTGTGACCACCACCTGTGTTCAAATCATGACGCCTTCGGTCTCCCCACAGGCCTTGTGCCTCCCAGCGACACAAGCCCTCTATCCTGTAATCCACTTTGTCCACAGCCATGTCCCCAAATCCCTGTCCACATGCTTCTTGGCCACAGCCTCCCAGGCCACGTCCCTAAGTCCCTGACCACAGCCTCCCAGGCCCCTGCCTGGGACGCCCCACCCTCTGTGGCTGCGCCCTTCCACTCGGCCTGCGCCCCGGCTTCCACCCAGAGCCTTCTGCACTGCTCCAGACACCTGCCTGGCCCCGCCCCAAGCTCTACTCTGGCCACGCCCATCCCGCCAGGGCCACACCCCCGCCTAGTGCCATTGCGGTCCCGCCCTCTAGCCAGAGCCACGCCCCTCACCCATTCCTCACAGTGTGTGTGTGGGGGGGGGGGGTCACCTGGTCCAGGGTGACTTTGGAGAGGTGGGATGTGTGTCTCACCACAAATCTACATTCTCATCCACATCTGCTCACCCTCTTGAAGCTGATGTTAAATTAATATGCATATCAGATCCTTTGTAGTCCCCCAAGTCATTAAGAATTCTTTAAATCTTACAATGACTTACTTTTCAGCTAGGCCTTTGGGAACCATGAGCTGCTACCAATTTTCCGTCAAAATGTATAGATTGACTGGCTTCTCATGTAAATGCCCCCAAGTGATCTGGACAAATGAAACTGTGCCCGTTATCTACCGAGGCCATGTCACACTGTTCACAGCCTCACAGCCAATGCTGATGGAAAATTTGGTAGCCGCTCATGGTTCCCAAACGGCTAACTGAAAAACGTTAGTGAGGGGTCCGAGGTGACCATTTATCTCCTATTCGAAATGCCACCCAGACCAAGGGGAAGCCAGTTATAATTAATTTAAGGCTACGGTGCTTAATGCCGGAACGAAAGGCACCATTAAAATATGGAGAGGGGAGGCAGATGATGGAAATACAAGAGTCGCCTCAGAGTCAGCTAGCGTCACTTCCCATGCACACCCCGAAGCGCGTAACACGTGTCACGGACACCGCCGCCACCCCACGTCACCTCCTTGTTTGATAAAGGATTTCCATGGGAGCTCTGGGCCCCGCAGTCCTTACCTTCAGACAGCATGCTCAGGGCCTCGTCGGACGTGTGCCCACCCACACGCGGTGCCTTCCTGGAGGTGGGGCTGTCACGGGGCACACAGGAGCCCTCTGGGGTCGGGAAAGGCCGCTCGTTGGCTGAGGTCATTGAGTCCCACTGGATCTCCTTCCTCGTTGCCTGGAAGTCTAGGCTGCATCCCGTCCAGCCATAGAAGGCCAGGGACAAGAGAAACCCCTGCGCTGGATTCAGTATGCCCTGGGTGGGGGGAGGGAGGTAGAGGGGGACAAAGGAAGGGTGGGTGAGTGAGCGAAGCGGGAATTAAAGCTCGGGGACCTCACAGTGATTGATGCCTCTCAGGAGGCCCAGTGGGTGGCCTCGCTTGGAAGGGTCCAGGTGGTTGATTTGGGGCAAGATGAAGATGGGCTGGAGGTGCCCGACCTTCAAGGGGGCCTGAAAATAGAGATGGGGGAGGAGAGGCGAAGGCACGGAATGGGAAGCACAGGACAGCGACCGCGCTGCCCGAGGGGCTTTGCTCTGCCGCAGACAGCTCTTGAATTGTTACGTGCTTGCAAACCAGAATTCGACCTAACGCAGGGTCCTGCGCCTCAACACGAGTCCAGGAAACAACCCTCCACTGACACATGGTTGAATATATGTGAACTGCACCAAAGCAGACTGCAGACCGGAGCACAGGAAGGCAGGCAGTTAACGCTGGTCGTTTTAAAGTCCCTGTGAATCGGATTTCCCCCAGTTCCGAAGCGACATAAATATTAATTCTGTGGGGGGCCACGTGTATCCCCCCACTAACAGCTCACGTGTGTATTTTTATTATCAATAATAATTTTTTTAGCAATAATTTTTTTATCGATAATAAAAACACTGGGGGAAATCTACCCATGGTGTTTTCACCTAATCATTTCCTGTATTTCTAGCCAATATTTTTCCACACTCGAGTTAGTAGGTATTTACTACAATTTTTATATTCTGCATTTCTCAATACTAGAGATTTCCTAATTGCCATTCTTAACAGCTGCATAACATTCCATCAAGATGAAAGACCGTAATTTATTTAACCGTGCCCTTTTTTAAAATGAGAGTTGTCGAAAAGGCTTTATAACTATGGATGACGTTATGAGGAATACTTCATCCCTATGGCTTTTTCACAGTCTGAAATGTTTCTTCAAGATAAATTCCCTGATATCTCAGTCTGCCTGAAAGGTTTGATACACTGTGCCAAACTGATTTAGCAGAGTCGCACCCGTTTAAAAATGTCCCCAGCAATGAATGACAGTAGCAGCTAGTACACAACCGCCAGACATAAGGAGTCCAGGAATCTACTTGATTCATATATATTTAAATAACAAGCCACCATACTTCTGAGTGGGGTTTTTTCCCCAAGAAGAAAGTTTTAAATCAAGGTCGACCTACCATAATAAACCACGTGGTCTTGGCTGCATTTCTGACATGTTTCAATGAGCCTCCGTTGATATCTGGTTGCATCTCAAGATAGAATAAGAGGCTTTCGTTGATGATGTTTGACACCCAACTGTTACAAATAGAAAACGGCCCACAGGTTAAGAGAACAGGCAGCAGAATTCATTTTTAAATGCTTGAGGGTGGGGAACGCGTCTATCGAGACCCATAGGAGTCCTGGAGGGGTGACGACTTTACCAGCAAAGGGGACCAGCACATCAAGAACCTGACGTAAGAGCTCTAACTCCTGTGAGTCTAAAGCAGAGACCAACAGATCTTTCCAGCTGCAGCGCCATCGCCAATGTAAGGTTCCAGCACTACATCGAATAACCCAGAACTTGGTCTTCGTTTGAAGAGTAACCTAACGTTTCGATGGAGACCAAAGTGAATCTTATTTGGTTCAGATTTTTTGATGTTATCATGGGTAGGCCAGTGGAGTTTGGAATAGCAAAAAGCTCGGGGTGTTTTTAGAGCATTTAGGCCTCTCCTGGGAGAAGGTCTAAACCTGCTCGTACTCACACCGCAAAGGCATGCTCTCTCTCGCAAAGTATCGCTTCGTGCCAGCAAACCGTTTTCAGTGTGTTGTGCACGGCTTACAGGTATCAATTTTCAAGGTATCCACCTGAACTATCAAGGCAGAATACCTATGGCGGGGGAAACTGAGTAGAGAAAAATTTGTCTCTAAGCCTCTGGGCTGAGCTGAGTCACCACACCGGAGATGTGCTCTAGCTCTTGTACCTTGTCAGATACAGGAATCCTGGTCTCCAGACGGATGCAAATGGGTGGATTTGAAAGGTCTGATCCTACGCTTTATTTCCACATTAACCCTGCTGGTGACACAGAACACCGGATGCGAATGGCTGGGATGGACGGAAGCTAAACTCAGCAGTTCTCGTGCCAAAGGCTTTCTGTCTAATTTCAGGAGCTCTGACTCTCTCCAGAAGCTCATGGATTGGAGACTTGCTTTCCTGTCTCGTGTGCATCTCCTCAAAGGGCTCTTAGCAGAGTTTCAAAGATTTCTTTTCCAAAGACTCTTCCCTTTGGAACCTTCGGGTCACACGTGGAAAAGCAAAATGGCAAATTGCTTGCATATCCCCTTCCCAGTGACAATTTAAAAAAAAAAAAAAGAAGAAGAGGAAGAAAAGTTACCAAATAATGAAAACCAGCATTATTTTGAAAAATCGATTCTTGATCACGGCTCCCATCCGTCTCTCGTTCTCCGTGTAAATGCCTTGTCTTCCTTTCAGTAAAGAAGCCACTGTGAAGGACAGAGGGGAACCGCGTGTCATGTTCATGACAGACGTTCACTGAGGGACAGGGCAAGGAAGTGGAGCAGACGGGAGGCCAGGAGCAAAGCAGGAGAGCGCGGGGCAGAGCGAGACACCCACCGGGTGCCCTCGGCACCCCCCACCCCCCTAGCCCTCCCCCCCACCGTCACAATGAGAAAATACATTGGGACAGTACTGTTATTTAAACTGCAGGTTTTATTTGGATTTTACTGGTTCAGGGACTAAATTTTTAAAGGTTAGTGTTTCCTACTACAAAAATAATGCACACTTGCTATTTTAAAGCGCAGGAAGATTTTAAATTTCTTCTTAGACAAAAGGTGGAAAATATAAAAAGCTTTAGAGAATTACTGACAGCCACTGTTAGCATATATGTATCTTTGTCTTTTTTCTATACGTCATT